TGTGGTGTGTGTGTGTGTGTGTGTGTGTGGTGTTGTGTGGGTGTGTGTGTGTGTGTGTGTGGTGTGTGTGTGTGTAGTGTCGTGTGTGTGTGTGGTGTGTGTGTGTGTGTGTGTGTGTGTGTGTGTGTGTAGTGTGGTGTGTGTGTGTGTGTGTGTGTGTGGTGTGTGTGTGTGTGTGTGTGTGTGTGTGGTGTGTGTGGTGTGTGTGTGTGGTGTGTGTGTGTGTGTGGTGGTGTGTGTGTGGTGTGTGTGTGTGTGTGTGTGTGTGTGTGGATTTCAGTAGCTGTACTGAAGTGTGTGAAACAAATTTTGTTTTTGTGAAGTGTTTTGTCTTTGGTCACACATGTCAATTAGTTTCCTCCTCTTCTTTACTCCCGTGTGTGTGTGTTCAGGTCTTGTGTGTATAAGAACGACCAGGCAGTGAAAGAAAACCCGAGCAAGGCTCTTCAGGAGGAGGAGCCGTGTCCACGCTTTGCACACCAGCTGGTCTACGATGAGATGCACAAGGTAACACACACACACAGCTACACACACACACAGCTGGGGCTCACTCACTTGAATAGTAACACGCTGATCACTTTGCAAAGGCGATATCCAGCTCAGCTTTCAAGATCTGTATTTATGATCACGTCCACGTCTCCTCTTGAGCTGGTTATTCTCACATCTGGCTCTACTTCTCTATCGGAGCTGTACTCGGTGAAATCAACTTCTAAAATGTTTCCGAGCACCTCGAAAACAACGTCAGAAGATGGAGGGTTTCTTTCTATCAGTGTCTGCATGACTAATTAATCGTAACAAAGCTGTGAAGAAATAAAGTCACAAGTTTGGAGAGAATCACAACCGCATTTGTGTCTTAAATGACCAGATTTCCAACCTTAAGATCACGAGGAAAGACACATCAAACCATGAATGCATAACAGTATTAGTACAAGATACAAGATGTTGCCAATCCTTGCAATATTTCTTATAAATAAAATGTTTAAACTAAAAGGTTGACAAATCAGGCTTTTTACCTAAAAAAAACCACATGATCCAATTCAACTAAAGACCCCAATAACATGTATCTACGTCTTGTATTGTAGTTGTGGTTTTTAGCTTTAATTGGTGTGTATTTCCTTTTTATTTTCTGCGTCCAGGTGCACTACTTGTTTGGTGGAAACCCCGGGAAGTCTTGTTCTCCTAAGATGCGTCTGGACGACTTCTGGTCCCTCAAACTGTGTCGGCCCTCCAAGGAATATCTGCTGCGCCACTGCAGATATCTGATCAGGAAATACAGGTGGGGCACAGCAACTTCATCACATGACTCGAGAGCTGTGGGATTCTTCCTGCTTTGTTGCCATCTAGTGTTTAGTTGTTGTAACTGCAGGTCAAGTTTCAAGGCTTTATTGTCATTACAGTGTAGTTATGGCAATGAAAAACGTAGGTCACATGCTCCTCTAACAGTCAGGGTTCCTGCGGGGTCTTAAAAAGTCTTACATTTGATAATCAGAATTCAAGGCCTTAAAAAGTCTTAAATATGATCAAAATAATTAGAAAGGTCTTAAATATGATTTAGAAGGTCTTAAAAATGATGGGATTTGAAAGGTACTTCTGTGTAGCGATCGCGTCTAAATGTGTTTGGGGGAAATGTCTGGCTGCAAAGTAACCAGTGCGGTAAGAGCCTTTCAGTTCCCCCCAACAATCTCGATTGAAATAAATCAACATGGAACCAGTAATCACTAACTTTGTTTCTCCCGGCCCCTTATCCGAGAACACCCAGCTAGTAACCTAGCAACCAACCAAGCTTCAGCTAGCGACAGTCAGAAACTCAGGTATCTTCGAATCTACTTACAAATGAATATGGGGAAGTGTAAGTTCGACCGTATTTGGTTGGAAAACATCGAATTTAGTGCTTGGTTGAAACCAGTGGAGGGGAACGTGTTTGAAGCCCGCTGCACCTTTTGCTAATGTAGCGTTAGCTAGTGCAGCAGCTCCCGCAACAACATCGGGGGACCTCCGGGTGACGTTTGAGTCTACGTCAACCCTAAAAACGGAGTTGCTGTGGACGCTAAACACCAATCATACAAGCTCTGACTATAGCTCTTGTCACTCACACACACACACACACACACACACACACACACACACACACACACACACACACACACACACACACACACACACACACACACACACACACACACACACACACTTGTTGTTTAACACAGTTCTGTGTACTGCTATGCTGTTATGTTGAGTCATCGTTCTTATGTTGAACGTGAATACATTTACTTTGTAAGTAATTATGGGACGTGTTTCTTCTAACATAGCAAGTTTCATTCATACATTCTTGCCGTGAAATAGGTCTTAAATTCTATTCAAAGTGGTCTTAAAAAGTCTTAAATTGAAGTAGGTGAAACCTGCAGGAACCCTGAACAGTGAAACATATATATATATAGGACATATAATAGTGCAAGAGACTGTTTGGAGATGTGTAACCGGTCTGGTTTGACACCACATTTATCTCTGCGTTGTGTTTTGTGATCAAATAAAACGACTTCTTTCTTGCCAGCCAGGATTAATTATCTGCAAAACAGAATATAATTACAGCAGGAAATGGCTTCACCAGCTTTCTACATTGATACCTTCAGTGGAAGAAAACAGAGATTGGGAAAGTACATAAAAAACACCCACATGCTCCGTTAAACTTTAAACTTTGGAAAGCCCACGAACACTGTCTGATGCACATTATAAATTACATTTATACACAGCAGAATATAGGTATATTAACTGCAAACAAGTATGACTTGAACAAAGTACAACATGAACCTATATTAAACAATCTATTAACATATTGAATACAACATTTATGACATCACTCGTTTCACCTACCTCTCCTCAGCGAGGCCTGAAGCCGAGGAAAGTAGCGCGAGTCTGCAGAAATGTGCCGGTGCCAAAATGTAACAAAATGATTTTGGTGAAATATAAGCAAGTTGTACAAGTAAATACAAACAAGATATAAATAGTAAAGTAAATGGAATGATATATTAGATAAATAATTATCAAAATGCAATCAGATGAATGTTTATGGATGTTTACCATTGGTGTGTTTTCATTGGTCAGGTTTGAGGAGAAAGCCCAATCGGAGCCCCTGAACGCGCTGAAATACCTGCAGAACGACCTCTCGCTCACCGTGGATCACACCGACCCCGACGAGACCAAAGAGGTACTGGAGTAGCATTAAAGACATGCTTTAGTGTTATTTCAATATTCGTTTTTGGGGGTTACAGTCCCTGCTAATACTGTTTGTTGATCACGAATGTGTTTCGGGCTTCAGTTCCAGCTCCTGCCCTCGGCTCTCTTCAAGTCCAGCTCTGATTTCATCCCACTGGGTAAGTGTTCATTAAAAACACCACGTGGGAGTCCACAAAGGACATGTAGACCACTTTTATCCAGGATGTTCTGGATAAGTACATGTATCTGTACTGCTAAGCCTTATATTGGCTACCTAGCTTACTTCGTCTTCTTCATCAGCCAGCATCCTTGGTATCTGTTGTTCACCGAGTTGATTCTCGCTAAGTAGCCAAGATAAGGCTTAGCATTACAGATAAATGTGGGCTCACTATTTGGCACGATGACTAAGCCTTATATTGGCTACTTAGCGAGAATCAACTCGATGAACAACAGATACCAAGGATGCTGGCTGATGAAGAACATGAAGTAAGCTAAGTAGCTTAGTCATCTTGCAAAATAGTGAGCCCACATTTATCTGTACTGCTAAGTCTTATATTGGCTACCTAGCTTACTTGGTCTTCTTCATCAGCCAGCTTCCTTGGTATCTGTTGTTCACCGAGTTGATTCCCCCCCTTCCATCTTGATGTTTCTTGGCATCTCTTATGACCATTTATTTACGAGTTACTAACATGTATAGCTGCCAAAAGGGAGCCTTATTGTAAAGTGTGAAACAAATCACCATTTATTAATGAGTTACTACCATTTCTAATAAGGCTTAGCAGTACAGATAAATGTGGGCTCACTATTCGGCAAGATGACTAAGCCTTATATTGGCTACTTAGCGAGAATCAACTCCGTGAACAACAGATACCAAGGATGCTGGCTGATGAAGAAGCAAGCTATGTAGCCAATATAAGACTTGGCAGTACAGATGAATGTGGGTTCACTATTTGGCAAGCGACTGGTCACCGTTGCCCTGTTTGTCTCATGTCTTATAAAAGCTTATTAATGATTAATAAAGTGTTCACAACCTAATTAATAAATGAATTGCAAACTATTCGTAAACCCTTTTATAAGGGTAGTCTTATAGTACAAATATTCTTTAACGTCCCTCCTCTCTCTCAGGTTTCTCAGACGTGGACCAGACGTACGCTCAGAGGACGCAGCTCTTCGACACACTCGTCAACTTCTTCCCCGACAGCATGACTCCTCCCAAGGGCAACCTGGTGGACCTCATCACGCTCTAACCCCAAATACCTCGCCCACCCACCGGAGGAGGCAGAGACCACTTATTTTTCTATTCCTGAACCTTCCTGTGGGATTTAACCATCATCATCGTCATCGAGCTGCTGTCAGTCTGCGCCCCCTGCTGGTGAGCCTCGAGAACACACACTTTTACACTTCAGTGAGGGAAACTCACAGAACTCACCTTTTGGTTTTTTCTTTTTTTTTTTTGCTGGTTTCTTGGAGCACGCAAAATCTTTTCCCACCTCAGAAACTTAATGGCCAAAAAGGAGAATTCACGCATTTGTTTTCAATAACTTTTGAGCTGTGTCCACATATTTGGAGATGATGTGTTCAGGTCGATTCTCAGTTCAACTCCACTGGTTGTTCATTGATTTGAAGGCAAAAGTGTGTGACCGTGAAACAGGAAGTGGCTTCCCCAACTCTTCTGTCCTCCCTTCGGTCACATTTCAGCATCTCCCGCCAAACCTTCATTTGGATTATCTGTTAAGCTTGCTTTTCTGCAACATATATCTATTTGTGATCGTGTCAGCCATGCAGAGGCTAAAAAAACAATTGAATAGTGTTGTAGTTACAATAGAGGAATGATTCTATGAGATTGAATTTAATATATATCTAAATATACCTTTTTTTATATTGCTTTCGGTTGTTATCCCTGTCAAATTGGTTGGTAAATGTGCATATATACTACAGAGCACTCGAGGTGAAGTAACATTTATTTTCCTCAGTAGTTAATGGACTTCATTCTAAGGCTGTACAGGATATGTAAATATACATATCGAAGATTTTTGGCATCCTGTGCTGGATTCTTTTATTTGTTCCCATTTACCGAAAAAGTCAGGGTCCACAAACAATCCTCATTTCACTTATTGGGAGGTATTAAAGCAGCCGGTGTGCGTTTGTAAATGAAGTGCTGGTGCCAGTTTGAGAGTGGAAAGGGCATTTTGAGTTATTTAAAAAAAAAAAAAAGGCGCTTCTCCAGTGTGATGACATTATGGGTTTAATTTTCCTTTTATCACTGAATCGGGTAAACAGATGTTTTCTCGTTTAATGATTCATTCAAAACTCTACTGGGTCAACTTGTCCGCACAAGTGAACTTATGAGTCCCATTTAATACAGTTATTTAACTTTGTTATGCACTTGTTGAAGCTGAAGGAGCATTCTGGTGTCTTGCAGGTGAAATTTAAGTTTGAAAAAGTAAGGTTAAAGTGAGCCTATGTGATGGGAAGAACTGAAATATCCAACTACAGTGAAGGTAACATTAGCCACCGTTAGCTTCTGGTCGTTCCGGACAAATGTGACGTTATATTCTGCTGCTTCTTGGAAATCAGGGGGTTGGAAAACAGACATTTGCTTGCTTACAGAGAAGATCAAGACTACTCTTTGTCATGTATGCTAAGTGTGAGGCTACCACTAGCTGTTAGCTTAGCATAACAACTGGAAACCTGTAGCCGGGCTCAGTCCAAAGGCAATCTAAAGATCACTTATTAACACAGTGACAACAAGACTCTAGGTTACGGCACTTGGTCATATATAAATAAAACTTTTTATAACACCACACCTTATGATCTTTTTACATAATGTGGTTAATTAATGAGCTTTGAAGGTTCTACATCAGTGGCTATTTTTACTTTTGGTAGTCTCAGTCTTCTCACCTGATCCTCGGCAATTTCCTAACGTTATTCCAACTATTCCTTTAAGAGCACATGACTAGTCGCTAAAGTGTTGAAAATGACAGCTAAAAAAAATAGTGCTATGGTCCTCTTTAAGTCAGACATAAGCTCAGCATTGCCTACAAAAATACCTGAATAGGATGGAAAATGCATCCATTAGCTTCTCTTGCTTTTTGCAGCTTCCAATTCATAATATTCATATTGAAACTTTAACAAAACACTTGGACTGTAGTAGACATTTTTGCCATCTAAATCATCCTGCTGGTGTGTTCACTGACACTGGAGATAAGTAGTTATTTCAGACATCATCAGGGAGGTGTCCTGCTACTCAGACACATCATTTGATTCTCTAAATGAATCCTGAGGAAAGTTGAACCTGTAACGATGGAGCACGATAGAGACGTTGCTTGAATAATACTCCTAACATTTGGGAGTGTTTTTGCGTTCATGTTGTTGGAGGAGGATGTCACACGAGTTGCTGCTGCCCTGAAACACACTCAATGGAAACAGATTGGTGAAAAGGACACCAGAGAAACGCATAAGTTGTATTAGAACATTAAAATGCTAATTATTTAAGATATGACAACATTTAGGGCTCATCACGCTTTACTTTGTGACGTTAAAAAGAATTAAAAGCACCTTTTTGTTAGAAAAAAACCACAATGCCAAATAATACTTGCTAATTTAGAGTAAATATCTTCCACACAACAATGTTTGACGGATGAAATGTTGTTTTAATTTGATTTTTCTTTCCGTTTTGCCCGTCTCTCGACCCCTGGGTGAGAGTTTTAAGGCTGGTACACTCAGATCAGTGAATGTGTAGAAAAACCTTGTAGTATTGCATTGTATGTACTGTATATAAGGAATAAAGATTGTATTTTGTTCAGGTTTTCTTAAATCCCATCTCTCCAGTGTGGGTTTTCTGCCCCCCTAGTGGTCATCTGTGAGTATTGCTGTCAAAGAAATGAAAGTAAAATACCGAATCGAGTGGAAAAAATAAGCTTTTATTTGCAAATCTGAACAGGTAAAACAACATGACAATTTACATTTTCCAGTGTGTCAGACCCCTGCTGTTCGCCTTCAGCAGCAAACAAATCATAAATACATAGAAATACTGGTAACATACTTTGGTGAAAATATCACAGCTATAATAAACGTGAAACGGCAGACAAACAAAACAAACAAACGGTGGATAGGAGTGCCCAAAGGTGATTCACTTGTATATAAGTACACACATATATATTAACTTCTTAATGGGTTTAAGAGAAATTATTAAGCTGAACATAATCCAAAAGGAAACGTGCCCAGGTTCTGCTGTGAGGGATTTTAGATCATCTTCAAATGTCACATGACCCTCCAGCAGCAGCAAGAGTGGAAGAAACAGAAATATTTACAGTGTTCACATCAGAGGAGGTTATTAATAAACAAAATCGGCATCAGAACAGTGTTTTTACAACTGATAATATTTTCTTTTTGATTGTAGAGTTGGCATTTTAGTGATATTTCTATGCAGGAAAAGTAATTTACACTCTGGTCTTTAAAAAAATGGCGATTCTCTGGACTGGGAGAATTGTTGCTAGTTATTGAGAAAATACTGTGTTTTCTACGAAGTAAAATGGTAGATTCACTGTTGTCAAAAATAACCACTTTTGGATCATGCGGTGTGTGGAAGTCAAGTGCAAAATAATTAACGATTTCATTTCCCAAGATTCTCTCGGCCACCTGACTAACTGAGACTAAAAACCTACCGTGAAGTACAAAGTGTTTACTTCCCGTTTTACTTGACTTCTAAAACTATTTAAATGTTAGCTAGCCAGCGTACGCCACTGGTCAGACTCGTGTAGCAAAAACCCTGAATAATCAACGGTATGTTTTATTGCTTATGAAGTTTTGAAAGCAGGAAAAACTGTCTGCGAGGGAGTGCGGTTGTCGGTTCGATCCCAGCCTGTGCAGCCAACATGTCTTTGGGCAAGATACTTAACCCTGAGTTGCTCCCGATGGCCAACGGTGTGTGAATGCTAGTTCCTAGAGTAAGGTACACTGCTCTGTATGGATGGGTGAATAACATGTAGCATACAAAGCGCTTTGAGGGGTCGTAAAGACTGGATAAAGCGTTATATAAGTACAGTCCTGAAATGTATTAACCAGAAATGTTCAGTAATGTCACTTTTTATTTTATTTTGAATGCAAGAAAGCAAAGCTCACTAAAAACGCGACGAGTTGATTTTCCTGTTAGATATTCTGAGCGATGTCCTGCATTGAAAAGCAAGAGCGGATTAAAGTGGATACCTATTTTCATATGAAAGTTAAAGGCTTTGTCATTGATTGTAATCACGTGAAACAACTTTAAGTCAGGGTTGTGGGGGACACTGGATCACAGTTGTTGTCGCTATGCCTCGGGGTCATCTGCACCCTGAGAAGGATGTGTTCCACATTATCTCTGACCGAGAGCTGCCCGGTCACAAACTAGCAACATCAACAATATGCTAGGGCAGCCCCTCCTTATGGGAGATAGCGGCTGGTCAGCTGCGTCAGACAGCGAAGGAGGACAGCGAAGGAGGACATGCAGGGCAAATTATTCCCCAACAAGGGTCACGTATCACGGAAAACAATACACTAAACTATAAACACATCTGGCTAAGTAGTGTCTTCAGACATCTGTCTCTTATGATTGGTACACCAGTGCCAACACACATAAGTGGAAATTTACCAGGATGCTTTGCAGTATCCTGAAGTCATCTATATCTAAGTTGGTAGCTCTCGAGATGAACTTAAGCATCTCCTGACTCTTTTTCCCTCTCTCAAAATAACATTAAAACACTATTTACAGTGGCATGTGTACAAAGGCACAATCCTCTTGTAGCTTTGAGCTTTTTCTGAATGAGTAATGATGTAGAAAGTCACTTATTTATATAAAATATCCGGATTAGATAACAGTGATTAATTTACTTGATTATTCAAACATAGGTTTGCGTGCAATTTCATTCATGCTTGATTTTGTATCCTTTTTGTTTTGCTCACTACAGTAAAAAAATATATAACAGACGGACTTCATTACAATTGGGTTGTTCTACAGTCGTCAGAACAGAAATGTCTTCTCTACGGGGACAGCATTCCCAGGATGTAGGGAAAAGGTCGGCATGGAGCAGGAAGTGTGGATAGTTGTTTGTTTTTGTTCCTTCGTCTCTACAGGTGAGTGTCCTCCTCGCCGGCGATGTCCTCCTTCAGCAGGTTGTCTATGGGGACGATCCAGCTGTCGTTGAACTCTCCGTTCAGCGCCGTCTTCTTCTTCTCCTGCATCTCCGGATGAATCTCCATCACCTCCAGCGTCGGGTTATCGTGGTATCCGTTCTCCACCGTGTGCAACTCCTCCGTCAGGTGCTGCTGTAGAGATCAAAGAGGAAGAAGTCTTCAAAAGGCTGTGTATAATTACTTTAAATAAGTGTAAAGTCCATGTATTGACATTTCTACCTTTCAGAGTTACATTTAATTTTATTTTCATGAAAAAAACTGCTTTTTAAGGGAGATTTTTTTTGAGAAAGTAAATAAAAATAACATCAGATTCAAATGTTATCAGCTGATTGAATGAGCGTTGTTATCAGTCTTTTAGACACAGGTTTAAGGGGCATCTTATAGCTACTACTAAGTTCAGAAGGCCATTAATATCTATTCACATGGTTGATCAGAAATACAAGAAGACAACGTTAACCTCTTATGCACATAGTAATCATGATGGTGGCACTGGAGGAAATGATGTGCAGTGGTATTTAAAGTCCATATAGGGAGAAGGTGATTGGGCATTTGTGGGTCAAACAGACTTACACCTGTTAATGTCCTGTTTGAAACCAAAACTAAAAGCATCGAGGTATTTTACATTACTGACCTTGCGTACGAAAATTATATACCGTCCCCATCCATAATCTTTTCCTAAACCCCAAAGTGTTTGCGTAGTTTCCATTCACAACGTTAAACATGCATCTAAAAGAGTCTTTCACTTTTCAAATATGTGGTTAGTGGCTGTTTTTTTCCATCTTGAGCATCAGATTTGTATTGTTTACAACTGATAATGGGTTGATAACAATAATAACTCATGGTATGGGTGAGTGTGCAGTTGGCTCCACGTTTTCTAACATGTTTAGTGACTCTACTCATGATCATGTGACCTCAGCATGGATAAACAAAATATATAATAGGCGCTTTCACACCGGTGTACTTTTCCCAGTATAGCTCCGATATACTTCCGAAATGTTGCGTTCACACCAAAAAAATCCGTAACTAGAACTTAGTTCATGAGAACCTTTTCAGTCCCTGCTAGAGAGTAGGTACTTTAGGCGCTTTCACACCGCAGTACTTTTCCCACAAAGGTTCATGAGAACTTAGTTCATGAGAACTCTTTAGTTCTCATGAACTAAGTACAGATCGCGTTCACACCGGAATAAGTCCCTGGGGGAGGATTAGGCAAATGAAGCCGCTGACGTCACTTCTCTTCTTCTTCTGCTCTGGGTTTACTGGCAGGCCGCAAACCACTTCACGGCGTATACTGCCGCCCAAAGTCCCCGGAGTTGGGGACTGGCTTCAGTAGAAGCTGCTGGGACTCCCAGCAGCTTCTACTGAAGCCTTCCGAGTAAATCGCCAGAACGCCGACACCTCCTCATCTCCACCGCTCCCATGTTTTATTTTGTGTTGCCATAAGTTAGTCTCTCTGCGTTTCTGCGCTGGGCTAATGCTAATGATGCTAATGCTAATGTTGCTAATGCCAGGATAATAAAATGGCGACTTCACATAACTTTTTGGGAGTTTTTACGGGGCGTGGTTTGCAATCCTTCCAGCCAATCAGACATAGGAACCTTTTTCTCCCACGAAAGTCCCTGCTCTCTAGCAGGGACGGAAAAGGGGGTAAAAAGGTTCTTATGAACTCATTTTAGTACCGGCTCTTTTTGGTGTGAACGCAACAAAAGCGTTCTCATGAACTAAGGGTGCGTTCACACCTGCCTTGTATAGTCCGGTTGAATCGAACCCTGGTGCGTTTAGCCGCTTGATGCGGTTCGTTTGGGTCGGTGTGAACACAATCCGAGACCTCTGAAGTGAACTAAACAACCGGACTCTGGTCCGCTAAAATAGGTGGTCTCGGAGCGCTTGCTTGCGAACTCTGGAGCGGTTCATTGCTGGTGTGAACGCAGTCCGCAGCAACACATAGGAAGCGTAGTATTTACGTGTCACAAGAACGCGGATGTTCAGCGAAAGAGTCTTTCAAGACATCCACGGTTGTTTAGTTAAAGAGTAAAGCAGAATTAAATGTTGAACAGTGTGTTGTGTAAAGTAAAAATGCTCCGTCAACTAGCCTACATAAAAGTAAGAACACCTGTCGTCGGTGAAACCCTCCTCCTTACTGCAGAACGTCTCTCATTATGTTATAATGTTTTTTAACGGACGTTGTCTGATTATATAATCATATGCGCGGGCCGCTAGAGTCTGTTGATCTCCAGATTAACAGCAGCATGAGAATAACCTGCCGAAAGTGCCGATGCTCCACGGCGGAGGCTCCGGTAGAAAATGCCGGGATTTGCGTTTTACCCCCTTAATGTCTGACCAATGGTTGAACAGCATTTCCGTGCACATGACTTGTGTTTAAAGTTTATAGTCCGTTTGAGTGTTGCCCGTGTGAACGCAAACCGAACCTTCTGAAAAATGAAACAATGTAACAAACTGTCGTCTGGTGCGCAGCAGAGAGCGGACTATTAGGTGTGAATGCACCCGAAGTTCTCATGAACCTTTGTGGGAAAAGTACTGCGGTGTGAATGTGCCTATGGGAGAAAAAGGTTCCCATTTCTGATTGGCTGGGCGGATTGCAAATTGTGAAGCCGCCATTTTATTATCCTCGCATTAGCATTATTAGCATTAGCCCCGCGCACCAACGCAGAGAGACTAACTTATGGCAACACAAAAGAAAACATGGGAGCGGTGGAGATGAGGTGTCGGCGTTCTGGCGATTTACTCGGAAGGCTTCAGTAGAAGCTGCTGGGAGTCCTAAAGTAGGGACTTGCCAACCCTCCCGATTTTCGCGGGAGACTCCCGATTTCATTGCCCTCTCCCGGTTTCCCTCCCGGGGTTATATTTCTCCCTCACTTTTCCCGATTTCTGACACAATCAGATTTACTCACGACTGTTTCCACTCGGACTTTAATCCTGCTACACCATTGTTTGGTTTCCATGGTAGCGCGCGCAACTGAAAGTCTGAGAGGGTGTTCAGCATGGTGAGGAAAAGTCACAGAAAACAGAACAAGAATCGACAACTCTACCCTCTGCTCACTCCTTTCCTGCGTCCAGCCCACACATATGCTCCAAGGATGGAGCTACAGGCAGCACTTACAACTACAGTGAGCATGTTAATGTTAATCGAACAGCTCCGGCGATCCCCCCCCCCGCGGTGGTTTTTAAATGCTCCCGATTTCTGAGGTCTCAAGGTTGGCAAGTACTGGATAGTAAAGAGGAACATTTAGCTTTACCTCCAGAAGGCAGGTAGGAGTGTTGTGCCTCTGAAGGGTCATCCCCAAAATAAAAAATAGTAAAAAAGTCTCTTCTATACGTAGCACTTAGAAAGGTTTGCCTTAAATTGAAGCTAAGACAGAAGCAAATAATGTGGTCTGGCTTGTAGATAGCTAAATGTACCTGCAGGATTTAATGGTTGAATGCACTTTTTTTGAATCTCATTGAATAAAAATATCGGCTATATGTTATTGAATGTATTGAAACGTGCTCCACCTACCTGGTTCTCGTTGTACGGCTTTCGATGGTGTGACGCACAAACAGCGAGGATGACGATCATGATGAGCAGAGCTCCACAGGAGGCCAGGATGGCTATCAGAGTTTTGTTATCTGTTGGTTTCTGCAAGTAGAAACACATCAAGATAATTACTTATTTTCACAATGATACACTTTGAACTACTCGTCCTGCAATTATCAGCAAAATATGAACCCTTACCTTGGTGATGTCTTCATAGTACTGGTTTGCAATGTTTGTTTTCACTGTAAGACACATTTTAAGGATGGATTAGAAATCAGTTTAAATTTAATCTGACCTGACAAATGTGAATTTTCTCATCGGAGGAAGTTGCTTTACCTTTGCCGTTTATCTCCACATAGTCGAACAGTAATCTGTTGTTGTGGTACTGCCATGACAGCGTGCAGTTTCCATCTAGCAAGTTCACCATCAGCCGCCTGCACACCTCCACCAGTTCTTTATCCTCTTCTTTCTGAAGGTAAAATGATACGTCTGTAAACTTTTCGTCATCGCTAAGCCTCGGCCATACAGACAGAGTTTGGGCACGAAGGTCAAAGGTGACAGTTGAGGTCATATCTTCTGTTTTGTTATGGGACGGCGCAGCTGCATAAGCAGGCAGAGAGAGGGTGAGTATATAAAAGAGAGAGGTGTGGGGAACGAAGGAAATCAGTGAAAGGCAGGAAGGGTTCCCACTAAGACACTTTTTCCACCCGGTGACTGGAATCTTTTTTTTATATCGAGCATCACTGCTTCCTGTTCTGTCCAGGAGCCTCAGCAGAAAAAATAAACATGTTTCTTTCCACAAAGCTTTGAACATTTTAGTGTTTTAACTTTATTATAATAAGATTTAGAGAATGGAAACGATGCATTGTGATAAAGCTGCTGGTGTGTTAGCAGGAGGGCAGGGTTATAGAAAGGAGACACCAGTACTCCTTCCACCCTTCTTAATTAAGCTGTATAAAGGTCTTACTTTAAATGAACAAAACAAAGTCTACATCAGCTCCGTGAGGCTGTTCAATGGGGCTTAAAGCTAAATGCTAACGTTAGCATGCTAACATGCCCACGTGAAACTTAGTTTTTCAGTCACCATGTTGTTTGACTGTTAACAATCTTATTATGAAACAGTATGGCAGTGCATCATTTCCTTTTTACGATATGAATACATTTCACTACAAATCCATGCAGCAAATAAATGAAAAAAGCCATAGCACCCTAACAAGCTAACGTTAGCATGCTAACATGCTCACAATGACGTGTGTTCAACTTCTGGTGTTTACACGGTCATGTTCGCCATGCTGTATGACGGTTAACAATTTTCTTAAACACAGTAAGGCAAGTATATCAGTGCATCATTTAACTAATGTTTTCTTACTATAAAGTTTAACACAAGTCAGTAAGCCTACATGTAGGCTATCTGCAATTAATGTAAAAGCTGCCACATCCTAAAAGGACTTTATGCTACTTTAGTCAGAAAGAAAACATGTCTTATTGTTCCTGCAGGATGTCGCAGTATTATTTTTCATCTCTAAAGTGAATGAACACTTTGGGGAGTTAATGTCAGTGAAGAAAGCAGTGGAAAGGGTGTGGGCCTGCTCCCATGAACAAGACAATAGCAGAGGCCTATGTCAGAGCAGGAACTGTGTTTATTATCACATGTATTGTTTGCGGGAATAGAAACAGTCTGATGCCTGTAACAGATTGAAAACTCAAAATAAAGCTAAATCTTACCTCCTGTCCTTTGTTTAGCGAATACTGTAAGAAAAAAGTCAGAAAATAAGTGCGTCAGTCAACATTTTTGCTGTAGTTTGTGAATGTGCTCCAGCTCAGAATCCGTTTTATTACTCAAGTAGTGTCACACATACAAGGAATGTGCCTTGGTGTAAATGCTAAAGATTCATGTTATTTTTAATATTATTTATCATTTATAATTGTTAATAACTAGATTTGCTCATACAGCGAACCCCAACAATACACAGAAAGAAGAATACCATTTATTTGTATAGAAAGGAGCAACAAATTGTAGATTTTTAAGAAACTGAACCTACAGTCAAATAAAATATGACAAATACTATATATCTGCTCCACTTTGTTGCATCATGTCTTACCGAAAACGTATTTGCTGGAGCTGCTGCCTTGGTGGTGGTGATGATGGTGGTTTGAGATGTGGTTGAAGCAATATTCCTAGCGGTGACTCCTGCAGTCGGGATCTTCTCCGCCAGGGTGGAGGAGGCCCTGGTGGTGCCTGTGTCCTTTGATGAGGATGATGATGTCCCTTCATGGCTTGTAGCCGTCTCTGTAGTTTTACCAGCACCTTCAACCAGGAACAATATGCAACAGTTAACATAATGTCCCTGTTAGAGCCATTTATATATGGTTTGAATGTTTGTCTTATTAATATAAGGCTTTAGAGTAAACTCTTAACTATTTATTTTTGTGAGTCACACTACGCTTTAAAATATGTTAATTTAAGCCTCACTTATGTGCTGTCAAATGTGCGCTGTCAGGTATGACGTGCATGTATGCCTATATAGTGCAGGACAATGGGACACAGCTGAGTTTGTGATTAGACAGGAAGTGCTATGGTCTTTTTAGTTTTTACTATATTCTTTTTGTTCTTTTTTGATACGGATAACTTTTAGTTACTTTGAAGCGAGGAAGTTTGTCTCATGTTTGTATGCCGCCTTGATCAGAGAATACATCTGAAGTGATTCAACCTACAACGATCTCCGCAAAGCTTGTTTGAAAGTGCTTCGTAACCCACAACCCCGATAAAGGAAAGTGGATATTAAATGTAGAAATGGATTTAAACGCCACGACAGTCCCCTTCTGTCAGGTCAGTGTCATCTTGAAACTGAATTGACCTCATACTTTAATTTGGTTCATTTATAAAAATAAGGTCAATCTGTGTTATGTATTTATTTATTCATATATAATATTTGATTTAGGTTAATGAACTGCACATACAGTGCTTTACCAGTTTTCACAATCCCTCAACGTGCTTTTACATAAACAAGTCAGCTACTCACACACACATTCATACGGAGGCAGAGGCTGACATAACCTACACACACACACACACACACACACACACACTGTTGGCTATGACATCAGGAGTTGGGGTTTAGTATCTAAGGACACTTCAACACAACATGTTGACTGCATGGGCTAAGGATCATACCATAGACTGTATATATAAATGGACGTAGGGTCCGTGACGTCACCCATAGGATTCTGCAGAGTTGCCGTGAAGCCCTTAGTAGGCGGAGTCGGCCACTAACGGCTCGACGGTGTCGTCAGAGTCTAACTCCCGCCTTCTCCAAATAAGGGCAAAGAGGCGGAGCTGAGCCGAGGCGGGACAGGGCGGGACCTGCTGCCAACGAGCGTGACGTTCAAGTCCTAGCTCAGGCTAAGAAGCTAAGCTAACATGCTCTCAGTATCAATCGAATGTAAAACATGATTGATGAAAGTAGTAAATCGGTCAGATTTGACCCGAAGACAACAGGAGGGTTAATGCCATATTCACTTAGTAACGCATGAACAACTTTTACAAATATTTCTATATAGTCTGTGTTGGTAAATGTCATCTAGGTTGCACATTTCCTGCTGAAATACATGCATACCAAGTCACTGCGTGGCACTTTGGTTTTGATAAAACAGTGTAGTTCCACTATATAAACGTTACATTCATAATCAAACGAGACAATCTGCAAGATAATTAGCTATTTGGTATTATTCTTAATGCTTGTCATTCACACGTTAATAAAATAAAATAAGTACCGATACATAGCAGAATAATTGTGGCGGTGTTCAGCTTAATAAGCCTTGCTCAACATCATTTATTTAGCTAATACTACAGCGGGCTGCAGGCGAACCAAGTCCGCGTTACGATGCATTCCTTGATCTCCAGTTATAACGCCGGACTCCGCCGCTGGCCGAAGCTAACGGAGCCCCAGGGTGCTAGCTACGGCCGCCGGGACGCGCTAGCGAGCTAGCACCCTGCAGCCCCGTTAGCTTCGGTGGCGTGGACTCCGGCGGCCCACCCCTTTTAACATTTGCTCCTGTTTAGCATTATGGGCGTCATAGCCATATAGTATAAAAGTCTTACCCAAGGCTGAATCATAAACTAAACTGTATATATGTATAAAGGGTTACGTCCTTAACTGGCTAATAAGCTACATAACAGGCTAAGCTAACAAGCACACAAACACCTGCTAACGGGGTTAACATGTATAATATTATCATTTTACTCACCGAAAAAAGCTGAAAGTAGACTACTTGGAAGATCTGTTAGTACATTCAAGCGCATAGCACGACATTTTAATTATCTGGTATTTGTAACAATATTCCCTAACAGGCACGATCACCACGAACACAGCTAAAGGATCAAGTACAGTAACTACAACTAACTAACGTTGTAGCCTCTATGGTTGTAGCCTAGCAGATTGGACAAGTTGATGTTAGCTGACAGTGAGGCGCGTATCTGTCAATCAAAGTGACCACAACCTAATGTATGCACAAACTTTAAGACCTAATATAAATATAAAGGGTCGCGTGAGAAAACAATTCACTCACAGATCCATAATCATGAAGGTGGAATCTAACTATATCGATAATAAAATGTATGGAGCCAGGGGTAGAAACATGTTTTTTTCTGCTGTAAAATCGGGCATTTTAACATGGGGGTCTATGGAAATTGCTCCTTTCTGCAGCCATTGCCTATCGGCCAATATATGAACTGCAGTGTGTGGCACTTCCGTATTGGCTTCCCGGCTCTACCCCACAGTTTGCCGCTTGGATCAAACCAACAAACTTTAAAGAGTCCTCTCCTGTTGATGTTCAGGTGTATATCAGTATGTAGTGTCTCTACTTTAAAGAGTCCTCTCCTGCTGATGTTCAGGTGTATATCAGTATGTAGTGTCTCTACTTTAAAGAGTCCTCTCCTGCTGATGTTCAGGTGTATATCAGTATGTAGTGTCTACTTTAAAGAGTCCTCTCCTGCTGATGTTCAGGTGTATATCAGTATGTAGTGTCTCTACTTTAAAGAGTCCTCTCCTGCTGATGTTCAGGTGTATATCAGTATGTAGTGTCTCTACTTTAAAGAGTCCTCTCCTGCTGATGTTCAGGTGTATATCAGTATGTAGTGTCTCTACTTTAAAGAGTCCTCTCCTGCTGATGTTCAGGTGTATATCAGTATGTAGTGTCTCTACTTTAAAGAGTCCTCTCCTGCTGATGTTCAGGTGTATATCAGTATGTAGTGTCTCTACTTTAAAGAGTCCTCTCCTGCTGATGTTCAGGTGTATATCAGTATGTAGTGTCTCTACTTAAAGAGTCCTCTCTGCTGATGTTCAGGTGTATATCAGTATGTAGTGTCTCTACTTTAAAGAGTCCTCTCCTGCTGATGTTCAGGTGTATATCAGTATGTAGTGTCTCTACTTTAAAGAGTCCTCTCCTGCTGATGTTCAGGTGTATATCAGTATGTAGTGTCTCTACTTTAAAGAGTCCTCTCCTGCTGATGTTCAGGTGTATATCAGTATGTAGTGTCTCTACTTTAAAGAGTCCTCTCCTGCTGATGTTCAGGTGTATATAGTGTCTCTACTTTAAAGAGTCCTCTCCTGCTGATGTCCAGGTGTATATCAGTATGTAGTGTCTCTACTTTAAAGAGTCCTCTCCTGCTGATGTTCAGGTGCCTCAGCGCTCTTCACGTGCAATGTGTTGGAGCGCTATAGCCAATAGAAGCGCGAGTGTTACATATTGAAGTTCAGGAAGTAAACAAAGCATTACAGGAGATTTTCAGGGAAACTTACCGCCTTTGCCGCTGGTGGTGAAGGTGCTGTGAGTCGTGGCCTGCTGCACCCCTCGACTTGGAGTAACAGGAGCTGGAGTCCCGGAGGTTTGACTGGATTCAGTTACTGCTGGGATGGGGGTATTTGCTGTGGTGGGGGTATTTGCTGTGGTGGGGGTATTTGCTGTGGTGGGGGTCTTTGCTGTGATGGTGATCTTTGCTGGGATGGTGGTCTTTGCTGGGATGGTGGTCTTTGCTGGGATGGGGGTATTTGCTGTGATGGGGGTATTTGCTGTGATGGGGGTATTTGCTGTGATGGGGGTATTTGCTGTGATGGGGGTATTTGCTGTGATGGGGGTATTTGCTGTGATGGGGGTATTTGCTGTGATGGGGGTCTTTGCTGTGATGGGGGTATTTGCTGTGATGGGGGTATTTGCTGTGATGGGGGTATTTGCTGTGATGGGGGTATTTGCTGTGATGGGGGTATTTGCTGTGATGGTGGTCTTTGCTGTGATGGGGGTATTTGCTGTGATGGTGGTCTTTGCTGTGATTGGGGTATTTGCTGGGATGGGGGTGGTTTCCTTCGTGGTTGAGGCCACAGTGGTTGGTGCTGGTGGTTGTGATGTGACAGTTGGTGCTTGTGTTGGGTTGAGGTTTGGCTTGTCTGTAGGTTTGGATTCAACAGTCGTCGCAACGGCTGCAGTAGTTGGTTTTACAGTCGTTGGTGCCTTCGTAGAGCTGGTGGTTCCAATTGGGCCACTAACAACGGCCGCCTTACTGGAAGTAGATGGTTGACCTGTAGTTGGCCCGGGCGATGTCGCAGAAGTGGCAGTGGTATCTGAACAGACGCTGTTGAATAGGAAGCCTAAAGGGGAGGAACAAACATGATTGTTAGCGATTGCTGCTAAAAGAGATCAATCTGTGGTGAATATCTGCATTATTTCTTAAGCTAAACACGACATTGACACGATTTCACATCACAAAGTTGGTATTAATATATTGTTTGATTACACATGCAGCAGACATGGAGCTTTATCATTCATTTAGAAGTATTTGTAATATATTTATAGTAGTTTATAAGCTTTAAATATATGTAAGAGCTTCGGTTTGTGTAAATCATGATCACACTGTTTTGGCTTTTTATAGGGGACATATTGGCTTGCTTGCGTTTTAACTTGGTTAGATCTACCTTAAGTCCAATATCCTCTCTTTCCAACCAACTCCTATTGCGTTGTCTTTAGCTGCTCCATTTTTCACCAGCTAGTTTGGGGTGTACTACGTTTTTTGTTAGAGCTGCAGATGGAAACAAACCAAAAGAAAGGCCATGAAACTGAACCAGTAAAGTACACATTGTGAAACCAGAACAATGAGCGGACAAATGTTTTCTGTAGCGCTGGAGAAACTGTCAAATTGGTGTATAATTATCTGTGGGTTCATCACTACAAGCACCCCTTTCATACTTTACACAAATAATACAAAAGCACTGATTAGTGCAGCTTAAATGTACAATAATGTCCTTTTTATGAATCAAATGTCAAGCTGGTGGAGCATTGTAAACTATGTGGAGAACTACTCCTAGATTTCCTGTGGTTCAGCTGTAAGCTTCAGCGCTCTCTCCATATTCTTCTTCTATTAATAGTGACGAGGACAGGATGCTGCACACAATAAACTTGGAAGTACCACACCCTCCGATTTGGAGAGTCTCGCAAACAATCCCCGCCCGACTCCAGGTCCAGAAAACAATGGCTTCCCCTCCCCTGCATGACCCCCTCCACCCTCCTGCTAAACATCCAGTGAAGCTGAGCGTCAGCCGGCGACGCATGACCTGACACGTAGCCGGTTCAAGTGACAAGGATTATATATTGTTTCCTCAGAGGAACACTGTGTTGTTTTTTTAAATTTAGTTTTGGATCACATTTCAACTTCAGTGTACATATGCACATGTAGTTAAATAGTTTCACAGAGTGGTCCGTTTCTTGACAAAACGACAACAATAAGCACACAAGAACATGGTGTTTTCTTTTCAATATAACACGTTGACAGTATACAGTAGATCATTACATAAAAAATGTAAACGGTTAAACAAAAGAAGGCGTTTCGGGGTAATACGCGCTTTCCATTTCTCCCAAATGTCCTCACATGTAAGTTCCTGGAGCCTCATAGAGACGGTTACTATTTCCATTACAAAGATTTCATAAATGATATCGTACCAATCCTCTATAGATGGGCTGCTTGGTTTGAGCCGTTTCTTTGTGATTGCTTTCCTCGCGGCTACACTCCCAAATAAGTATTTTGTTTTAATATTTGTGGATGTTGAGTGCAGAAAACCGAAGATTGATTGATTGATTGACAAGTTTATTAACAGCTTGTATATTGGGTACAGTACAGTACAGCTCAAAACATACAATTGTTAAGGGGATGCAGACCAGAGAAAGACTTTCGTCTTGTTTACATCAGGGTCCCCCATTTCCAATTCATCATATATAAGAATATATATAGAAGAGTTCGTCCAAATTAAAATAAATTTTTGTTCCAAATATGATGACAATTTCTTTATAAGCCTTATGCCAAAAAGTATTTACTATTGGGCCGTCCCACACTGTGTTGTTTTAACATGTTGGAGCCTCCTTTTTTAAAACCACAACTCTAAAGGGTTGTGATTGTAATGGAAATCTATTTTGAGATAAAGACGTCACAGTTTAATTCTTGTTCCCTTTTCATTTCAGAATCAGAATGGAAGTTATTGTACGTTTACACCTACAAGGATTTTGCTTTGGTGTATTTTGGTGAAAACACAAGTTGTGAAGGTCAGAAATATAACGATTATAAAAAGAATAAACTATTTAGCATTAAAGATGAACAAAGACAAGTATTTACACCACATTTAAATATACAAATTAAACTAAAACATGAAAACGTGATACCTCCATGCTTGAAACACACATTAATATATAATAATCAGAATGTTACTAGTTTAGGATCACCTATTTCAAGCTGCTTTCTTTGCAATGCGTTTCGAGTCAAGATAAATAACATTACTAGTTTGTGGAGATCTATGCCAAAGAAGAATTGTTGCATACATTAATATTTCTTACAGATTAGAAAATTAGATAAATACATCACAAGTTCTTCAGACTTCACATAAATAAACACTTGAGCCAAAGTTCCCACAGCATGTGAACGCAGCATCAGTGTCGGGAGTTAGTAGATAAGAGTCTGTTCTGGTCAAGTGGATGCTGTCTCTTTAAAACACACACACACACACACACACACACACACACACACAGAGCTTATCGGTCGTAAAGACTGTTACTGAGAGAGAAATCTGTCGAAGCCCTCGGAGGACAGAGGACTCATCTGATTCAGCCGAGGGTTCAGATCTACAGTACATGATTTCCTCGCTCCTTCTGAGGGTTATAATAAGGGTCTGTCACCTCCTAAGCTGCATGGCACTGAAGTTATTAACACTCACACAGGAGGAACAGACCCTGAACCTGTTCTGTTTGTAAGGGATCATAACTAGGGGTCAGTGGTGGAAAAAGTATTCAGATTCTTAAGCAAACGTACGAATACCACACTGTAAAAGTACTGCATCAAGATGGTACTCGAGCAAAAAATATATATAAGTACAATTAGAAAAATGTACTTAGGGGTAGAAGTAATTATTGCAAAATCTTTCTATCTTCACATTTAAGAAGCTGGAACTGCGAAATGTTTTTAAATATAATGTTGGATGGTTTAATCTGTTCCAAATAATCACATTTCAAAAGTTGTTTCTACTTTTTTCGATGTCAAAATCAGATGTTTTTTTGTGGCTAGTGAATAAGTCTGTAAAATAAATGTAGTGGAGTAAAAAGTACAAACTTGGCTTCCAAAATGTAGCGGAGTAGAAGTATAAAGGAGTCTAAAATGAAAGTCAAGTACCTCACTTATTTACTCTCCACCACTGCTAGGAGTTGGTTGTTGAAATCTGCCGTTTACTTTTGATTATCAGTATTGAAAATGAACGCAGCAAAGCAACAACCATAAGCTTATATGTTTATAAAGGTTGATTATATCAATGCAACTGGAAAGATTTTCAACAATGCATCATATGACGGGAATTTTGACAGACAGACAGAGTTCAGCGTGTTTTTCCAAAGATGATGAAAGATAAGTAACTATATGACGGCATTTTTTTTTTTTTTAAAGATGTAATGGAAAGCAATAAGTCACTGTCTCCCCCCCCAGGTGTGTGTGTCTTGTTTTCTGACCCCGCTGACCCGAGCTGTCACTGACGCGTCTGTTTCTCAACCAGCAGCACCGCATAATTCCTGCTGCTATCAGTACCAGCGCTGTTTTTACCTCACCCCCTCATTCCTCACCACTCACACAAACTCAAAACTCACACACACACACACACACACACACACACACACACATACCATATATACATCACTTCAGGGGACATTACATTGACTCGCATGCATTTCCTGGAGACTTATCCCAACCTTAACCATAACCAACACATGCCTAACCCTAACCAAGTCTTCACCCTAAAATTAATGATTGCTCTCATGGGGACCTCCATTTTGTCCCCATAAGGGCGGTGAGTCCCCACACGTGACTGTGTAAACAGATTTAGGTCCCCACAAGTATAGTAATGCTAGGACACACACACACACACACACACACACACACACACACACACACACACACAGACATACATTTGCAGTGCCTCCCTCTCAATTCAACGTAGATTACAATACATGTAATAACTCACTCTTATCGGAATAAGCAAACAATGTTTCCTTAATCCCTTTTTGCTGCACTACATCAAATGTTACCTACCTAACACTTTTTTTTGAATGAGGCAAACGCTTCCAGGCATTTCTTAGGAGTTGGGTTAACATCTGCTTATTTTACGTTAGTTAAACTTACTAATGTGGTTTGGCTGTATGTAAAAAAAGGAGTAGAGCCTACAAGAGTTTTTTTGGGGGGAAAATAAGGTTTTCAATGTTGTAGTTTTACTGATATGTAACCTTTTCAAGCGCACATGAAAGAAAAGTAGTTAGAGCATAACATATACTTTTGATTAATGTTGTTGTGTGGACAGCAACATGAAAACCTTTCCGTAGTAGTGAATATTCTTAGATTAACGATAGCTTGTGAGCATAGCGTCTTGCAGCTAAAGTGTCAGAAATGTTTCTTAGGGGATGTTGGAAACTAAAACATATCTGCGTATAAATGTGGCTTTGTTAGTAGCAACAGTAGAATGGAAGTAAAGGGGATAAAGAGACAGGGAATTACATGCAACAGTTTGTGTATCTATAAATAGCATTTGAATGAATGAAAACAAATATATTGCACGCAGCTCATTGTAAAAATACTCTCTGACCTTGATGACCTCTTTGACCTCAGTCTGCTCACTGCCTCCTTCTGTGTGACTGTTTCTGAAACACAACGTACATGTTGCGGATCAGATATAAATATAAAGTATACATTGTCCTTTTGTCTTGTCTCATGGCGTGCCCTGCTGTGACTGAGGCCCAGACAGCAGAGTGTGAGAATCGACCTGCTGTCCTTTCCCTGATTCTCTGTTTTCTCGCTTGGCTCACTTCAGTGACAGGAAACACTTGTGTTGACTCGTCTGACTTCTGTTACACAAAGTGGACTCGAGTTGGTTTTCTGCCAGCTGTTTTCACCTCGGTTTAAGGACACTATCATCAGTGTTATCGAGGAAGTTTATAGTTAGCATATGATCTAAAAACTACCAACAGTAAATCATAAAATGCAAGACTTTGATGGCATTTCATGAAATCTTAAATTAGCCTCCACAGAAAACAGAGAGTTAGAAAACACACACACACTCACAGTGCCTCCCTC